TAATTCCGACAGACGTTTCAGACGGCAACCATTCCGTCAATCATCAAAGCGCACACTCAATGTTCCTCAAAGAAAATTTATGCCTCCGATAACGAACAAAACGATTGGTCTGCAATGAAGGAATTTTCTCACTCAATGCTGCGCTGTCCATGTTTCGCAAATCAACTAGATCGAATTCGTAGATGTCTTAAATCGGTTAACGTGAGCCTTGGATCACACAGTTTTACAACATCTTCACAATTCACATTTTTGACTGTTGGCAATAACTGCTTCCTGATGCGTGTGAAATTCAGAAAAACTGCCAAAAAATAAGTCAACAGCTTTCTAGCTCACAAAGAGATTTGTCACATGTCGATATTAATCCGCTTGTCCAGGACACTAAGGAATTTGTATCAATTAAACACGTTTCAATTCGTCGCAGCTCTCAAGGCCTTGAAATTTTTCCTACATACATAACGTTACATCTTTCATGGAAATACCGTTTCCGAAGCCAGTTGAATTCCTTTTGTTTTTCCCTTGCTTCTCTCTGAGACATCAGCTTAGAAGATGGATTTTAACGACGCATCTTGTTTCAGCCTATAAACACTACATCGAAGAACTTCTGTTAAAATGTTTTTCTTTCAATTCAGTCAGGGGGTAGTTTCGCACAATCTTTTAGAAACATTCTTAACTTTTGTTCCGCAAAGCTCTCCAACTCTTGATATTAGGTGAAAAAAATTATTGGACATTGTATATTTGGATATTATATTTTGCCGGCTGATTTTGTGCCTCATATAATACGTATGCTTTCAGCAACCCCAGCCGCAGCGTCAGCTTTGCTAACTGAACAAATCAGCTCATTGCATGACAGGATAATGCACGTTGAAACAAATGTTCCTCATCTGCCACTGTAGTGTGAATAACTTTCGCTAAACCTGAGAATAGACAGCATAGCATGCAACTGTTATCGAGGCTGGCACAGTTCTTTGTATATTTATGAGCTGGCTCTATTTAGGAGAAAGACTCCCTGATCAAAATTCAAAAGAAAGGATTCACAACCATTGTCCGCATACTCCGCGATCAGAAATTAATCGGCATCAATCTACTGATCCTCTAATCGCTAGAGTTTTAATATGGTAAAATTGTCATATTGTAGTCCATTTTAATTATAGATGCCTACGTCTTAAAGTATATCCGTTGGTGTAGTGGCATGTGTTTGTTCTACCTAACAAAATGTCGCGATTCGCGTTATTGCGTGGCGATGCTAAAAGACTATGGAGCTATCGCCTGCTTAAATAGTCCAGTTGGTTGCGAGTTGCAAGCGCCTGTTCATCGTATGAATCCCAGAGAACTGAGAGAAGAACGCTATAAGATAGTTTCTTCATTTGTATGATTGTCAACCTATTAGTCTTCAACATGACAGCAGTTAATAAGTTCACTCTGATTTGGATTCCACGATAAAACGGTTGCCAGATATGTCTATAGCAGCTGGTAGAATCGCACCCCCCCCCGCACCTTCTTTTCTCCATCTTTGCAGAGTATGAAGAAAGAAAGAGCGATCCAAGACAAGTCCATTCATAGTTTGTCTGTTCGTAGCTTTCTCACTTACAACCACATAAAATTTTTTTTTCATGACGACAGCCTGTCCGTCAGTGAATTATTAAATTGTCATAAACATTGGCACCGCAGAAAAGAGGTATTTGCCGTTTAAGTACTAGGCAGTGCAACGTCAACGCTATGCATCCTAAGCATGCAACAGCTCTCTTTCCAGGCGGTTGCAATTCTACGGTTTGGCTGCGATTTCACGGCATCATGAATAGGTCATTCGATACAAATGCGTACCTGACTGCGCAACTGGGGGGATCACATGAAAGACGCAGTGTGAATGAACTACGCAAATATCTGTACTGAAACTTTTCTGGACAATGAAAATGCTCTGAATCTCTTTCGAATATGCTTCATATCAAATTTTGAATGCCAATGAAATCACAGCTGACTCATTGTGAAATCCAAATATCAAAGCATATTGAGAAACGCAAAACATTTTCCCATTTTGCACAAAAACTGCTATAGCGTAAGAAGGTTGGGTGTCATTACAATAAGTTATGCCACAACATCGCATCGCCCCCTTGCATCTCGTCGCCTAACGGATAGATGAAACAGGTCACGGATCCATTGTATTTGAGCGTCTGCGGTGCATCGCATGCGACGTTGCGTTTCTGAGTCGAAACACTTTGGTTCGTTGGTGTGGCTCGAGCGAAACGAGTGCTTTCACCATGCAACGATTACAAGCAAATCAGCATATAAACAGTTGTTTTAGCAGTCTGACAAAGAGGAGGGGAGGGCAAAGTAGCAAAAATTAATGAATGTTGTATAAACTGATCCACTGTGATTCCGATGGCAAATCCGGTAGACTGCAATCTGATATCTGATTCACTTCA